TACAACGATAACATTTTAGAGATACAAGATGTAATTTTTAATCTGCCATATAATGACAGTGTATTTAATGTTGGAATATGAGAACGCACCCATATTTATTATGTTGCCAGTACTGATTTTGTACCAATTATATTGGCTATACTTTTTTCTTGCCTTGTCACTTCGTCTGTTCGTGTATGTAAAGTGTTTTTTCTATAATATACGTGAGGCACTTTTTATTCAAGTTCAAGTTATTTATTTATCAACCCAGTTATTCCCAATATTTAATTTTGAAAACCAATCTACATCGGCGCGTAAAAATATTAGATAGCGAAAATCAGTTAATTTTGAGAGCTATAATTTAATTTGTAATTTTTTATAATCGTTGGTAATTTACTATGTTATATTAATTAGGACTAGAGGTCCCGCAGTAGTCGAAATTCGACTATAATTAATTGAGATTGTAAGTTTGTACACTATTATGATTGTATTTTATACTTCTATAAACACAAATTTCGCCAAACTAAGTGTAGTTTATAGTGATAAAAAAAAATTAATAAAGACAAACTATATTTAATCTATTTTCAATTTGACAACAGACGTCAAGAAGAAAAGTTTGACAATAAATAGTATGCATGCGTGTGTGCGTCAAATACATGGTATGTAGTGTGTGTAATGTTTTAATGATTTAATGTATCTTTTATGCATTATTTTAAAAAAATATTAGCATTGTGCACTTTTCTCTATATTCTCTGTAAGTGTGGAAAATTTCATACTCCTCCGCGTAATTTTCGTAAAAAGGGATACAAAGTTTTTGCTTTACGTATTAATATATAGATTAGTCGTTTTATATTCAACTAAATGGTAATTTTAATTAAGAGCAGGTAACACCGTTTGGAGTTGCATTTGTCATGGTGGATGAACATAAAGTTATTGCAGTGTCTGGCTAACAGCAATTGCAACCGGTACATTGGCTCTAAATTACTAATTATTATTGTAATCTCTGTCTATCTCACTCTATTGTAACTGTTAGATGCAAAGGATAAAATTAGCTTCGTTAGATATGAAGGTCAAATAGGTGTCTTAAAAATCACCTAAGGACTGTTTTATTGAAGACAGTTTAAGAAAAAATATGCGTAACAATTTCAAGTCGTAAAAAGTGCCTCTGCTCTAACTTTTCGACCAAGGAGAAGAAATTCTGAAAAAAAAATTAGCAACTGTAGAGAACTTTAAAGAAAGTTTTTCTGAGCTGTACATCGTAAAAGTCGAGCTTAAGCAAATGGTGGGTGCGTATATAACTATGGAAATTTGTATCTGTCGTCGCTTATGAAGAGAATATATTGGATATTCACATCACCCAATTCGTTAAAACTGGATTATTAAATTAATTAGGCTAATGTGTTCACATTTTAGTTTCGGTAAATACCTACTTATTTCTCTTTGACATATTACCTTAAATTTTCACAAGTAAAACGCTATTTTGTATCCTCGAAGCAATAGCCTTCCCATAACGCACGAATGTTTGGCACTTGTCAACGACAGCACCCTAATAAATCGGACACTGGTCCAAGTGACTACATCATAGCGATTTGAGCGTTTGAGGAAAAAATTGAGAAACAGTTGCTTACCAGAATACCTAAATAATAAACCTATAGAAATGGCAGATGGCGAAAAAAAAAATTTGTCTTTTTGATAATAGAGCACCAAACTATTATCATTATTATATATTTAGCAATATAGTATTAACCAAGTTTACCATTTGTGAAAATCAGGCAAAAGTTACTAATTATTTTTATTAATGCTTAATTTTATAATTTTATTTGCGATTCACTTCAAAGGTATAAGAAGTAGCCCTATATATGTGATAATGATAAACATAGATAAAATAGCGAACATTTATTTCTTTAAAAAAATTATAAAAATATGACTTCAAGAAAACTTATTTAACCGAAACAATAATTCAAAATGGTATATCTGGACACGGCAGATCCGAGTCGAAATAATCGGAATATTGAACAAAAAAGACGATTTAGTATGAATGGTTAGTGCATAGTAATGAATAGTGAGAATTTCTTTTTAATTAACATAATTTTAAATAGTGAATCATCAGAACGAGCGTATATGCTATTTGACTGGTTCGTTTTGTTATTAATCATTAAGATTAATCAAGTTTATGCCCAAGTCTATTACCGGAGCGCTATGACATTTGCTTCTTCAAACGAGGCTTGTAGAGAGTACAAGTAGACAGCGGCTTGGCTCTGCCCCTGGCATTGCTGACGTCCACGGTTGACAGTAACCACTCCCCATGATATGAGCCGTATGCTCGTTTGCCTACAAGGCCAATAAAGAAAGTCTGAAGAATCAATCAGCGCCCCTTATTTGAAAATATCCCTAGTAGATTTATGTATACACAATAACAGACTAAACGCAATGAATTTACGATCGCTTATAAGCTTGGACCAAACATGACAAGTTTATAAATATCAAACCATTTTTATTGAAAGTGGACAAATGTTATATTGTAATGCTTCTCAATGTAAATGGGCTAGGAACGTATATATAATGCATAAAGACGGCACATTCCTTATGCGATGTGTCTTGCTCTTTATGTATGTGACGTCATAATATGTTTTCACATGAATAACGCTATGGGGCTATGAAATACGGTGCATGAGTGTTTATCACCAGTCTGATTACTTCTGTCGCGAAGCAGTCATGCATTTTTGTTTCAAGGATTATTTTATTATTATAATTCAACATACTTTAATCTATACTAATATTATAAAGAGGAAAGATTTGTTTGTTTGTTTGTTTCGAATAGGCTCCGAAACTACTGGACCGATTTGAAAAATTCTTTTTCCATTAGATGCCGACATTGTCCCTGATGAGCATAGGCTACTTTTTTTAAAGTTTTTTTTTATTTTATTATTTTGGTTTCATGTGTGTTTTAATGTTTCCGAAGCGAAGCGAGGGCGGGTCGCTAGTCTAATATAAATCAATTCAATCAATCAATATTAATCTTCAATCTAATAAATAATAACGGTAGGCGGCGGCTTGGCTCTGCCCCTGGCATTGCTGAAGTCCATGGGCGACGGTAACCACTCACCATCAGGTGGGCCGTATGCTCGTCTGCCTACAAAGGCAATAAAAATAAAAATAATAATAATAACTCATTAAGCAACACCTAGACCGCAAAAACATCAGAGCTACAAATATGTATTTTTTTTAATAACAATTTGTTGCTACTTAAGAACTTTGATGAGATTGATACTAATCTACTAACAACTAATCCGAAGTCTTATTCAAAAAAACAACACTACTCATATCTCGTAGAAATGAAGAATGATAAATCTAAGCGAAGATAATTAAATTTTTAAGAAATCCTAATTTAATCAGAATACGATCTCACCTTGAAGGTAAAGCTTAAAATTATAAGAAAAATAAGGCCAGTACCATTTTTTTTATATTATCTTTGCTAATTGCCTTGTAATTATTCAAATATTTAAGCAGTTAGGTGAGCCTCCAGAAATTTGGGTCAGTTCGGCTTAGATTAATTTTTCATTAGGCAAAAGCTAGGACTTGACGACGGAATAATTAGGCAGATGGCTGCGTTCCGCCCTGAAAAATATTCAGGGATAGATTCTGTTAATTCTGACTCTGAGGATTCGATTGTAGATTATTTGAGTTAGAATTAAAAATCAGATTTATATACGACTGATTTTGTTTTTGTATTGTGTTTATTTACGATATTATTTTTTTATTCCTGGTGTTAAGTGGTTACTGGAGCCCATAGATATCTACAACGTAAATGCGCCACCCACCTTGAGAGAAGTTCTAAGGTCTCAGTATAGTTTCAACGGCTGCTACACCCTTCAAACCGAAACGCATTACTGCTTCACGGCAGAAATAGGCGGGATGGTGGTACCTTCCTGTGCGGACTCACAAGAGGTCCTACTACCAGTAAATTTTGCTATAGATGGACAGACGAGCTGCAGTCTACTTAATCTTAAGTGGTCAATAGAATCTATAGACATAATATAAAAGCATTCACTTTAGTAAAAGAGGACTATTTGAATCTTAATAGTCTCATTTTGCCCTGCAAATCGAAGCTTTACCTACTGCATTACGGCAGAAAAGTACTTGGATTTTGTATTTGCATGGATTCAGAGTACGCCTTACCATCATAAAAATAAAATAACATTGAAACGGAAATCCGCTACGTTTAAACCGCAGGTCCGGCCATGAAATTATTTTAGAAATGAATTATTTACAGCTATTTGATTTGCTTTCTTGTTAAAAGACATCTCAACTCAAATATTAATGCGACCGTTACATTTTTTATTACTGAATCCGTACCGGTGCTTCGCTAATTATATTTTAACGTCTTGAACGTAAAAATGTTTTATGACGGCATCCCCTAATTAAGGTGTTACAAGACTTTTCAGTTTTCGAGCTATTTTGTAACAGTGCTTTAATGGAAGTTTGTGAAGACGGGCTTTTGTTTTGGCAACTGGGGTGCGCCGATGGTTTCCACAGTTCACCTCGTATTAAGCGGGAATCAAAGTCCGTGAGTGGACTACGTGAATACCTCTGCACGCCCAATGAGGTAAATAGATATCCTCATTAAGAAGATAGACTTCCTCATTAGGTGAGGTCTCAAGATAGACTTATAGTTGTCTTAGTTTTCGAGCCGAACGATTTATTGGATTTCGTATAAAATTAAACAGATACTGATAAGTTTCTATGCAGGGTTACAACACCCTTAATCATTATATATGTTGTTTAATTGGAGGGAAGCCATGAATTCTACAACATGAATAGCACAAACCATGTTGAGATGAAGTCGAACTAAATACAGAATAATTGCTATCAGCTGGAAGCCGATTCCAATACCTGACGAACTCCGAAATTATATTCTTAACTTTAACACACAATTGTGAGTTTCTGATTGAGAGTCAATGACCAAACTTTATTCACAGGTTCCGATATGGTTTTATATGAAATTAAAAGCATGCACTGACCGATAGATCGCCTCCGTAGAAAGGATGTATCACGAAGGTCTCGTTCCCAATGTGAATGACTCCAGACACTCCGTTGCAGGTGTGGAAGGCCGCTGAAGCACCGGGGTAGTCCTTGACGGTGCCGTGGTAGTAGCAGTGCTCGATTTCCTGTTGACAACAAATACTCTTCGCATTAGTCTCTTGAAATTAAAAAGGATCTGGTTCGTGTATTCGATGTCTGTGATATGCCTATATTTATGCTGATATACGTAGTAGATGCTATAGAAAGGTGTATTTCTTTGATGAATCGAGCCAGAAATGAGGAAATCCGTCAAAGAACCAAAGTAACCGACATAGCCTTAAAGATTAGCAAGTGGCAATGGCAATGGGCCGCACATACGTGTCGCAGAACCGATGGCCGTTGGAGCAAACGTGTTCTGGACTGGAGACCACGTATCAGTAAGCGCAGATTTGGGCGTCCCCTTGCCCGTTGGACCAATGACTTGCGGCGATATGCTGGGAAAGACTGGATGCGGAAGGCGGAGGATTGTTCATTGTTGGCGGTCTATGGGAGAGGCCAACATCCTACAGTGGAGATATACAAGCTAATGATGATCTAGTTGATAACGAAAAGAGGCATTCATGGATAGGATCGAAACCTTGATGAGGTCATTCTTGATGAGGATTCATCAATGAGGTTTGTTTCGTTGGCGTATACTGATTCTCAGGCCAAATTATGGCCCAAAGCATTAGGGTACTCCATAAATAATACAGTGAGTATACGCCGCACCTTACTTTGGGTGTTAGGTCTTAGTCATAATTGCGTTGAAATAACGACAACCTTACATTTTAAAACAGAATCAGGTACGGATACGAATTCACGGAATAAGCAGAAATGTGATATTAAGTCACACGAAATCCTGAAATAACAAAACCACCCAAAATTTACGGGTTTAATTTGCTGATATGGTTTTAACAATAGATGCTTCTCGAAAAGGTTAGGTAAATAGTAAAATTTATTAGTAATTTCGTGTGCTATGGGCCAGTAAACGAACGTCTTAAACGGTAGGTACCACCACCCTGCCTATATCTGCCATGAAGCAGTAATGCGTTTCGGTTTGAAGGGTGGGGCAGTCGTTGTAACTATACGACTTGAGATTTTAGAACTTATATCTCAAGGTGGGTGGCACATTTACGTTGTAGATGTCTATGGGCTCCAGTAACCACTTAACACCAGGTGGGCTGTGAGCCCGTCCACCCATCTAAGCAATAAAAAAATAAACCCGTAAAAAAAATTTACCCGAGGACATAAGACGTGAGCCTATACTTGCTAAATTTAAAAGCTTATTAAAAAAACATTTGTTAAATACATTGTAACCATTTACGTAAATTAATTGTGTTATTATAGTATAACCTATTTTAATGGTTTATAGGCTATGTTTGTATAGAGCGTTACATGCAGTCAAACTGCGTAAGCAGTTTTGCGGGGCATGGTTTGAATGTAAGTGTAACTTTTTACGGATAAATATATTACATACATACATACATAAAAAAAAAATTACCAGATATAATTACCAGATTTTATTACCTGATATTACCAGAATTCACATTCCACAAAACTCTTACTACTTCAACTGCGTTCGACAAAATACGTAAAAATGAATCGTAATTTCAACAAAAAGCTACTAGAGATAACAAAATGTCGAAGACTTGTTTAAGACAAAACAAACTCACGTATTATAAAGCTCGCCCTTATCCAATAAACGTTTCGAAATAAGACTATTATAAAATATCACTTCGTAAATTATTACGATGACTATCGGAAACTCGATCTAAAGTTGTTAAATTTTATCACTTTGTTTTGACGTGGCTGAGTTCAGTTTTTGTTGTTTTTATTGACTAACACGGAAGAAAATGGGTCCGGTTGCGTTTTCTGGTAGGTATTTATAGTTACAAATTATGAATAAGTTTAATTTCATTGGCATAAATATTGCGAATTTTACAGTTTTCACAATACAAATGCTTGAGGTGGAAATCCGAATTGGGTATTCCCCATGGCCATGATAACGGGAACAGGTTGGGTGGTAGCACGAATCAATACAGGCTTACTTCCTAACAATCACTAATTACGCCAATTACATAATATTGTGGGCATTACGACTTTTCTTTTTAGCCAATATTCGAAAATAAAATCAAGACTTGGTAAACTTTGAATATAATCTACCCCATTCTCAGTACTGGTGGTAAGACCTCTTGTGAGCCCGCATGGGTAGGTACCACCATCACGCCTATTTTCTGCCGTGAAGCAGTAATGCGTTTCCGTCTGAAGGGCGGGATAGCCGTTGTAACTATACTGAGACCTTAGAACTCAAATCTCAAGGTACCCACCCACCTTTTGTACCACCATCTACACTGTAGATGTCTATGGGCTCCAGTAACTACTTAACACCGAGTGGGCTGTGAGTTCGTCCATCAATCTAAGCAATAAATAAATAAAAAACCTATTACGGATATTACATCAATAAAAAAAACGCTCTTCAAGAATATTTTATTAGGCCTAAAATACTTAAAGCCACGAGAGCTGTCTTAAAAAATGTAAGGCTCGATACTAAACAAAACAAAATTGAATGAATTTCGTCCAGGGAACCATTTGGAGGCACGACTGGGTCTAATTTGTCATTCACGAATATCGCACGGTAATAGGGAATGAGGAATAAAAAGAACCGATGCGAGAGATGTGGGCTAAGAATTCCGCGCTTAGGTTTTTTCTTCAAAATATTAGGTCGTTTCTTTTGATAGCCGATTCATAAGGAGCTAGTTTCTCCAGCGAGGAGTACACTAACATTGCGTAGGTGGAGATTCGTGCTCGGTATTGGGATGAAAGGTGTTTGTCAGGAATCAAAATCGGTTCGGTAGTTTGGGTTAGACCGCAATTGATAAACAGAGTTATTTTTGTATTTGTCCGATATGTAACTTCTAATATCTAAGAGTATTAAAGTAAATTCTGAAAATATTTGAATGAAGAAAACCTTTTTTGAAGTATTCAATTTTAATGAACTAATTAATCTTTGTTTACTTGTACGAATAAATAGACACGAAATAATTAAAAATGTCGCTGCCTTATGTTCTATTAGTGTTATTTATTTGCCTCCTTTGTTATTTTTCGTATTTTACAAATCACGGTCACAGGGAACTCTATTGTTTCATTATATTTTATTATATTTACCTGTCATATGATTATAAAACAAATTTTCGCATTGTATTTGATAATTGCTAAAATTTAAGTGTCCATATGTAATGAAATGAAATTACAGTTTTTTGTTTTAAGACTCCTAAAACGGACTCCGAGAAAACAATTACGTTTAGACCCCGAATGCAAAAATATATTTGAATTAGATAATTACTTCGGACTCAAATCGAACCCGCTTTCCGTACCATAGACACCGCTAAATATCACGGCGAATGGACTGAATATTAAACGTTCCTATTCTGCCAATTCTGTGGCCACACCCATAAGCTCTGTTCGCAATTAGGCTCATACTTTTTGCTCTCAACCACCGACCGTGAACAGACACGAATTCAATTCATGAATCGAATTGAAACGAATTACACTGAATGATCTTATTAGTACTTGCGAAGATATCAGGGACGTCCCTGTTCATCTTTTGTGACTGTAATAAAATATATACCGGCATACGTTGAAAATATAAGTCTAATAGAAAATCAGGGTCTGGTTTGGCACTAGAACCGTACATTATAACATCTAGCAGATTAATGACCAGAAGATTAGTTAAAGAAACCCAAATAATTAACTTATGTATAGTCACTAATTTCTTTCACATCACATTCTAATCTAGTTAATTTTTTGCTATTACAAATGAGCCGTCTGGTTGGAAAAGCTCAAAACTATCACCATAGTATGAATGGTATCGCAATATTCATTGTATTAGGAGGAGCTGGAGTAATGCTGGTGTAATGTGGGCTAGCACATTTGATTGATGGACTTCGAACAGGATTAGATCTTGGATCTCGTGATAAGTGTTTAGAGGTCCTAATCACATAAGGTATGGTCAGAGTCGATTTCATCACTTACATAATTTTATAATCTGTTTCTTTGGATTTTTACAACTCATAAACATTTGCAGGGATTTTGTTATAATTTTCCACAAATATTGTTGATACTCCGATCAATTTATGGGGAATTTTTAACTATGGTAAATAACATGACCCGGGACATGATACCAGGTATATTCGCTATAGTAAATACGACAGTGTATTCGCTGGTTTATTATTTTACGTATCAAGAGATTCACATATCGACTGGTAGTTTATTGGCCAGAGAGTGATACAAACAATCCTTATGTTCTGAAAATGCCACGTGTTTTATTCTTTCCTAATTACAAATTTAGGGTAAGTCAAAGAGCCGGGCACGTTTAGTGGAAAAATGCTTGTGCTAAGTCCAAAATATTGCCTTTTCAGTGAGTACCTCTAGGAAAAGCAATTTGCTAAAGTTTTTTGGGATACAAAAGCTAGGTCAAGAGTGGCCAAAGAATATATCTACAAAAATCGTATGTCAATAGCCAAGTACACAACGCACACGGGACAGCTTCAGATATTTCTAAAAATATCCTGAACATTTTCACATGTATTCGGTGTCCGTATATATTTATTTTCATGAATGCGATTCCTTCGGGAGACGAACGCTTATGTCGGATGTCTATTTTAAGAAAAAATCAGGGTATATCCCGCACAAAATATTACTCATATAAATATTACTCAAAATATTACTCACAAACACTTTTGTGATTTGATATGATTAGAATCACATAGTTCAAAATAGTTAATTTAATATATTAATTGTTAACATATTGATATTTAACAAATTGTTATATTTAACTTTTTATTTTTTTATTGCTTAGATGTGTGGACGAGCTCACAGCCCACCTGGTGTTATGTGGTTACTGGAGCCCATAGACATCTATGACGTAAAATGCGCCACACACCTTGAGATATAGTTCTAAGGTTTCAGTACAGTCACAACGGCTGCCCCACCCTTCAAACCGAAAAGCATTATTGCTTCACGGCAGAAATAGGCGGGGCGGTGGTACCTACCCGTGCGGACTCACAAGAGGTCCTAACACCGTCGCTTATAAAATTTGTGCTAAAAA